CTTAGGCACAGACCCAGCAGCCAAGGAAGGGAGTTGAACTCCGACGTGGTCCCCATCTCAGCCAGGAGGGGCCAGCTGGGGTAACAGCTGAGGTAAAGAAACCAGAGCCCCAGACCTGGATAATCCAGGCCAGTCAATGGATCATAGATCATATTTCATAGGTTGCCCCCCCAGAAATGACCACACTGCTCATCTTGTCTGACTTCCAGCATTGCACAGGCCAGAGAACTGGAGCAGGACCAGCGCTACGTCCCTCTGGCCCCCACTCCTGCCTCTTCTGATTCCACTTCTGCTTATTATCCTCTCTCCCTCCTTCCACACTGGACTCTAGTCTTTAAATTTACAACTGCTCCTTTTACTCCCCTCCTCTTCTGCCCCCTCTTTGCTCTTTCATGCTCCTGATGAGCCTCACGCTACAACATTCAGGCCTAACATGGCTGCCCAACTGGGAAAATGGCCTCCTCACTGCTTTACATGACCACCTAACTGGCAACATGGCTGCTGTTCTGATAACAACACAGCCACAAAATGAGGCTGCTCAGCACAGCCCAGGACACATTTATCCAATATGGCTGCCTGATTTCCAATATGGCCACCCTTCAGAGAGCAGCACAACCTATGGCTAGTCAACATAGCCAAGGACATGGCTGCCAAACAGAAACAGATCTGGGCGTCCAACATGGCCATCTTGTGCTTCTCCCCTCTGGGAAGGTAGAATCCCACCAGGACCACCCAGCTCTCAGTCAGTCCGGCCAGAGTGGGCAGGATCTGCAGAGAGAACTGTGCCCTCCCTATTTACTGAGATCTCCGTAAATATCAGGGGATGGAGCATTAGTAATGGAGAGGTGACAGAAAATGAATCATGGCCTGGTGCCCCCGGCCACCTTCTGACCCCCATGTCACAGCCCGACATTGTATCTGAAGGAAGCAATCCCCACCCCAGCCCGGCTCTCACTCATTTGTGTGGGGAGCCCCCCAGGATCCTGAAGAGAAGCACGAGACTCTGGAGAGAGAATAAAGTTCAACTGTAAATAAATTGAATTCTGGGCACCATCTCCACTTTCTCCACTGCCATGCCTCTGCTGACCCCTCTCCTGTTTTTAATCCCCATAGATCTCCCTCCCCAGCCAGTACTGAGCATGGATCCCCCATCCGGAGTGGTGAGCGAAGGGTTCCCCCTGCTCATCACCTGCACGGGCCCCAGGGATGCTGGTCAGCGGAGGTTTCACTTCTACAAGGACAGTGTTGAGCTCGTTCCTGGGAATGTGGAGTCTGAGATCAGCACCACAGAGCCCAGCACCAGGTCTATGAACATCTCTGCGCTCAGCATCCCGCAGGCCGGTCCTAACAACTCCGGGGAATTCACCTGCGGGTACGAGGAAAATGTCGGTGGGAGGTGGATCCCATCCCCCAGGAGCCATGCTGTGAATGTCACTGTTACAGGTGAGACTTCCCTAATTTCTTAATCCAGCTCCTGGTTTGCTCCCATTGGAGGGGAACCATCCCCTGGAGCTCTCCTGGGAAAGGGGGTCGGATGAGGTGACAGATGTCACATGGAGATAGAAACTAAAGTGGAGATGAAAATCCTCCCTCTCCTCCCATGCCCTTTTATCTATGATACTTCGATTGCCATGTGAACTATTATCTGAGCTCCTCACAATGTTGTTAATGGATTTAGCCCCTCAGTGCCCATTTCAGAGATGGGGAATAGAGACAAAAAGAAGAGTCCCACAGGATAGCAGGGAATTGAACCCCCATAGCTAGTGTTGAAGACCAGCTTCATAACCACTGGACCATCCTTCCCCTCTTTGGAAGGGGAGCAGGCTGTTACAGATGGAATGTGCAATAGACAACATAGTGAGAGGTTGTCGTCACAGCAAATTTGTTTCAAGGGCGGATTCCTCTGTGGGTCCCAGACCTTTTGACATGGCTGCCTGGCTGTTCTCATGTCCCCTTCCCTCCCTTTTCTTTTCTGCTACATGAACAGCCTCACACTACACCCGTGATATTCTGCTGGGAACTGGTGGCATCTTGCTTCTGGGTGGAGCCCTGGCTGCTCTGATCTGCTACTGCCATAGGAAGAAAAGAGGTGAGTGAAAGGGGGCAAGGGGGTGTGATCTCCCACATGGTCCTGTGATATGGTCTCATCAAAAACTATTCTGTAGTGATCAGTGTACATAATTTTAAACCATTAACAACCTCAAAGAATCCTACCACGGTGTGGGTACGGAAACCAAATTCTCAAATATGCCTGGTAAAGGACGTATGTACTTTAAATAAGATGACAAAGTACAATAAGAAGCTAGAGTTCTAAAAAGATATTGATAGGCTTTCCAATGTGTAGTGATACATGTTCCATTTATT